GGATTCGGCAAGATGTCGGAACATAGGACGCGAGTGTCGGGCTGGGGTAGAGGAAGCTATACCAGTAAAAACTATAGCATGAGAAATTTGAGGTACAAAAGTAGAGGAAGTGGTAAAAAGTGGAACCGCAGCAGAGACAAGTGTTGTAGTAGGAACCGCAGCAGAGGCAACTTCCGTAGCAAGGACCGCAGCGAAGGCAACTTCTGTAGCAGAAACTGCTGGAGTGAAACCCGGAGTTGAAACAGCAGCAGTAGAAACTGCAGCAGTGGAGACCACAGCGGCAGCAGCGGTAGAAACTGCAGCAGTGGAGACCACAGCGGTGGAAGCAGCGGCGGTGGGAACTGCAACAGTGGGAACTGCATTAGCAGCAGATGAACAAGCAATGACAGGACGAGCAGCGGAGGCAACTTCCGTAGCAGAAACTGCTGGAGTGAAACCCGGAGTTGAAACAGCAGCAGTAGAAACTGCAGCAGTGGAGACCACAGCGGTGGAAGCGGCGGCGGTGGGAACCGCAACAGTGGGAACTACATTAGCAGCAGATGAACAAGCAGTGACAGGACGAGCGCGATGTGGGRATAAAGAAGAAAGTGGGTRATGCAAGGACCATCGCAGCATGCGTCGGAACSACTGAGAGAGACGGGTGACATGTGTAGGATAGCGACGTTGGCGGGAGCGYGTGTAGCAGGTCCATCCTTTAGCGAGGGTTGGTGGGGAATGGCCACGAGAAAGCATGCGACGAGTGAGTGTTGTCGCTGCAGTTCGGAAGTCCTGCCAATTATTGCGGATGCGTTCAAATCTGGTCAATTGCCCAGTGAACACACCTGCCCGTTGATGGGAAGGGATGTATAACAGGGAAATCCCAAGCAGCCGCTTTATCAAACACGCTCATGCGAAGTGAACCATCAGAACGTACTCGTAGATGCATACCTAAAAAGGTACACGAGCCATCTGTAGCCGTAGTTTCCTTCCACTCAAGCCCATAGTGCTCTGAAGGAGGAGGTAATTGCCCCCATGAAAGAACATCATCAATGAGGCGGTAAGTGAAGGCGTATCGCTGAGCAGCTTGGGGATCATGTT